CATGTACCCATCTTCTGATGGCTACTTCCAGCAGGATAATCCACCATGTCACAAAGCTCAAATCATCTCAAACTGGTTTCTTGAACATGACAATGAGCTCGCTGTTCTCCAGTGGCCTCAACAGTCACCAGATCTCACTCCAATAGAGCACCTTTGGGATGCGGTGGAATGGGATTTGCATCATGGATGTGCAGCTGACAGATCTGCAGCAACTGTGTGATGCCATCATGTCAATATGGACCAAAGTCTCTGAGTTTCCAACACCTTGTTGAAAGTATACTATAAAGAATTAAGGCAGTTCTGAAGGCAAAAGGGGGTCCAACCCAGTACCAACACATGTGCGCATGTCCATGATCGTTTTTTAATCAACAGTGTGCAAATGTAAAGGCATACAGCAAGAGGTCAACCAGAAGGAACAACCTGAGGCTGTTAATACTAGCTTCAGCTGCTAACGCTATTTCCAAAGCATCCATCCATCGTCAACCGCTTATCCTGCGTACAGGGTTGCAGGGGGGCTGGAGCCAATCCTAGTTTACATCGGGCAAAATGCGTGGTACACCCTGGACAGGTCGCCAGTCCATCGCATAGACAAACAACCACTCATACCCAAGGACAATTTTAGAGACACCAATTAACCTAGCTTGCAGGTCTTTGGATGGTGGCAGGAAGCCAGAGTACCCGGAGAGAACCCAAACAGACACAGGGAGAACATGCAAACTCCACACAGAAAGGGCAGGGCAAACGGGGTTTGAACCCACAACCTTGCTGTGAGGTGACAGCACCAACCACTGCTCCACCGCGCCGCCCTATTTCCAAAGCAGTGTTGTTGAAAATACCAAATTAAAATGGATGATCCTGACCTAGAAATCAAGATATATAATATCCAGTTGGCAGCATCTCCTTTTTTAATATGATTTAGATGAGACATTTTAATTCATGGCAGAGTAAAAGTAGCTAATTCTTTTGAATCTAAGCTGAAACAATTTTTAATCACAGATCAATTAAATCATTTTAAATTGGCTTTAAATCTGATTATCTTTATGATTTTTATATCGAATTATGGATGTATACAATTACGATGTATCCAGATACATATTAAATCCCCTGATATAGAGTAATACAAACTCACAGCACTGTAATATGCAGACTCCAGACAGAAAGGCCCTAGCATAAATGATACAGAATATATGTTTCTGTGTGCTGCTCCTAAAGGAGCGTGATCACACCTATAGAGTCTGTAGCACCTGAAGCAGAACCAGGGTTACAATGTGTAACTTTTGTTTTCTCTGCTTTATCTCTGGTGAATGTAAAATAATGGAAGAGATACATTTTGTTTCTGGTGACTAAAAATGGAAAGGACAAAAAAAACCAAAACGATTAATGTATTCATTACAAAGACCAAAACTCACAAGCCTGACTGATTCTGCTCTATTACTCCACACAAACACACGCACACACACACAAACACACACACTCACACAGTGTTAGAGACTGGTGAGGGTTATAAATGACCCAGATATGATTTGTCATTAAAACAGCATGTCACCAAAATTATCTTTCAGTAACAAGGAGACATAGGCAGAGTATACGTGTGTGTGTGTGTGTGTGTGTGTGTGTGTGTGTGTGTGTTGGAGTGCTGTCCTTGAGTTTCTGGCAGACGAGATGGATGAGCTGTAATTACACTGATAGAGAGATGATCGGAGGATGGGAGGAAGGAGAAGAGGAGGAGGAGAGAGACAAGGTTGTGCATGTATTTGTCCTTGTATAGTAGCATGGACGCGTGCGTGTGCATATTTCTGTTTTTAAATGTAATGCTTGTTAAAGCATGATGGGATATCAGTCAAATCCAGCAGTGGAATGTTTTGACTTTCAAATCAGAATCACAACAGACACGATACACATGATAAACACTGTAAAGCATAGAAATAAAAGGAATAGAACAGCTTTACTCCCAGCAAGGTGGACGGACTCACTCAAGACTGGTGCACAACAATGGGCCCGTGTTTACTGGTCTAGTTCTGGGTGCTGACACTGGCCAAAACCTGGCAGATTCTTAGCTTCCAGCATTTAAACTAGAGGTTTTCACACTGTGAGGCACGCACAAGTGAGCTGAAGGGGAGGCGCGGAGAAAAAGACATTAGGTAAAGATACTGTGTGAGGTGAAAACAACTGGAAGTCATTTATTGTAGTTTGGCCCAGCTGATTTGGCCGCTTATCCAAACGACCAGCAGTTGCAGCAGCTGTGACACACAGCTCACGGAGGTAATTAAAGTACTTTAAAACCCTTAGCGCCCAATTGCCGCAATTAGTCAAAAACTCACACTCATTTTTGGAGTCATTACTCGGTCAAATCTGAACGCATGATACATGATACACGTTTTTAGATTCAGTGTTACTTACGCTTTAGAGGATATAATTATCTCCCATGTCGATTGCTAATAAAACTCAATTAATCATATACAAATCATAAAAAAGAAGGTCCTTATAATTACAGAAAAACAATGTTTTCTTCAGTATCAAAGTAATCCAGTGATAGTTTTCTGAACACCCGTGGGTTCACTGCTGACAGGAACAGGTAATAGATACAATCGGCATACTTGTGATTGGTGCCAGTTTGCCAACATGCAAACAAAGTACAGTAAAGTTACTGTTTACAAAGCATTGTGGGAGCTGCAGTTCCAAAAATTGGAGCATGATTATCCCCCAAATAAAACTGGACATAGAATAAAAACATGAGTGGCAAAGACCATAAATATAACCTTTTTTCATGTTGCAACACTGGCACATTACTTAGGCTAAACAACATGGTTCCTATTATTAATTTGGCAGCAATATCTGGTCCAGATCTGGCTCAGATTTAGTCTCCCAACACATCCAAATGTTTACTCAACTAAGCTAAGAGAAAAGGAGGTAATCAAACCATGTCAACCGCAAGTTAATTATCTCTAATCTCAAGATACTCAACTGTGTTCTTGAGTTCACATTTTAATTACTGCGTTAATAACAAATAGCGATATCTGACTCAATTATATTATCTGGAGACATTTAACTGGTATCTTGAGATTTACACTTTGAGAATCAACCTTTATCAAGTGCTTGGAAATGGTGCTCATTTGTAGTATTTTAAGCCAGTTGTCCTGATATATTAATTTAATTAAGATATTATCTGGAGACATCAACCACTGTTTTCATGTGACAACAACTTATGAAGATGACAAACTCTCAAGTGTTCTCAAGACCTCCATGTCCTTATGGCTTCGTTATCTCATGACAGCAGATGGTGCTCTTATTAAGCTCCTTAAAGAGGAACTCTAGTGATTTTGAGTTGTACTTCCATGGAGCTAGAGGACCCATGACAGACAGATAAGCAGTATCAGCAGAAGCTTTTACAGTGTAAAATTAAGCCACTGCTACCAACCACTCAAAATCAATACCAAAGAACATAATCAGTGCTAAAAATCAAGATCGAGTAGGTTTCAACAAACCTACAGGATATCATATACTATCCTGTAATCCCAAAGTATTTTCCCGTGGGATCTCAGTTAGTGGGTGCCCGATAACATCATCAGGATGATTTTGTCAGATTTGAAAAAAGGCTCACGATTGTTTTCACAGACTGAGAAGTTAACCGTACTCTATCCAATCCATTTTATTTATACAGCACATTTTAAAAACCGGGTTTACAAAGTGCTGCACAAAGAATCAAATATATAACACATCGAACACATAAACACAAACAAATGGTTCACAAACAATCGAAAGGCAACAACAGAGGACCACACAGCTCTCATGCTGGATTAAAAGCCAGGGAATAAAAGTGAGTTTTAAAAGTTCGACGGTGGGGGATATTTTGACCTGTGGCGGTAAAGATCATTCCATTGTTTGGGGGCTCCCGTTGGCCCCGATTTTTTTAACCTGGTTTTAGGGGCTACCAGCCGGAGCTGATCAGCGGACCTTAGTGACCTTGAGGGGCTGTAAACTTGAAAAAGGTACCCATGTAGTTATTTAAAAACAACCATGAGATCTTTTTTTCTGAAATGGACTATGAGCCAGAGAAGTGATGCCAGAACAGGTCTGATGTTTTTATCTGTTTGTTAAGATTTAAAAGAAATTTTTATTTTGACTACAAGTTTTGCATAATGCAGCGGGTAGCCCAGGTCCACAGGAAAGACATCACCGGCCTGACTGGGTCCAAACACAATGACCTATGTTTTTATTTAAGGTTTGGATTGGATTGGGAGGAAGATGGCATCTGGCTCGTTGCTTTACCCTAGCTACTTTTGTGTTCAAGAAGAACATTAGCTTTACTCCCAGTGCTTAGATGTGTTAAAATCACTTGTTTCTTCCTGGTCCTGAAGTCTTTCCTGTGATCATTATCAAGCTATCACAACTTCATTAGGTCAAATATTAGGTGAATATATTGACTGCTCACTGTTTTTACCCCATAGCTAAGGATTTATGTCGAGATAACAAGCTTCCATTCTATCCACACAGGTTTCATCATGGAGGTTTTTCCTCTCAGCCTCGAGACAAACAGGAGTCCCATAAGACAAAAAGAGAAGAAATGGCCTAGAATCAACAACATGTGGTGTTTGGTGCATAATGAGATCATTAAGTCAATCACAGGATACGTGGTTTTGAAAAATAAATAAGAGCACCAGAAAAACACAATTTCTTATCTCAAGAAATGCAAATAATTAAGTTAGGATCAAGAGATAAGAATTAGAAGAGAGATAAATACCTTTATAATGCTTTTGCTTGCTCAGTTTTTATCTCTACAGGGTTTGTCTTAAATCACTTTTATTAGATGTGTTAATTACATGTTCTTCTTTTCTTTCTTGGTCTGTTTTTACTGGGTTTTAATCATCTGCTGTTGACATGGAAAGAAAGTAGTGAAAGTGAAACATTCTGCACATATCTAAGTTGTTGCTCCATAAAAGGAACCCCAAAACCAGAATCACAGCAGCACTTGTGGTTTTGTTTGCCATGTCGAGACTCACCGTCACGCCGTTGTCGGTCTGCGTCTCTCTGTAGGTGAAGTTACAGACGGCCCAGGCCAGGTAGTACGTGGACATGCGCGGCGTGCGGGCGAAGCGATTGGTCAGCCAGCCGTCTTCGTCCGACAGCGAGCTGCTCTCGACGGGCATGTTGGCGAGCGAGGTGTACTGCGGGTCGTGGCGGAGGGTGAGGGAGAACGTGGCCTTGTAGACGGGCTCGTCGAAGCAGGGGAAGGCCTTCCGGGCGTGGATCGGACTGAACTGAGTCACCGCCAGGTATCTGGAAGAAGAAACAAATGAACTGTGTTATTGTGACATAAAGGAAGACAAATGACTTTAGGACTGGCTGAAAATGGTTAAAGGAATGACATTTAAGTTTTTTTTCAACGCAGCAGACCCAAAATTAGGCCACCTGTGCACACGTCTGTGCAGCGTCTCTGGGTGTTTCTCTGTTTCTCTTGTGTTTCCCATCCCTCTTATTTGTCTGTACATGTGTGGGGATGTGTGATCTCGTTTTGGCCCGTAATGATCCAATAGACCATCCAGCTCTGATACTCCTGGCGTCCTGCTTTGCTATTCATAACCAGATCTCCAGTACCTGCTGCTACATTGCCACAGATTCCCAGACTCTGCCATTGCCAGCCTCACCTGCTTCGGATTAATCTACTCTGTGCTGTAAATAAAGACTTGTGTTCTGTCTCTGTTTTCAGTCTGCAAATTACAAAAACATAACACTACCGCTGCTGTGACCTTTACTAGATATAGGTTTGACTAGGGGTCAAGTCCAGGTGGCAATCAGGAATCACAGCTGATGCTTCTTTTGTAAATATTTTTTTAAAAGTAGTTTAAGAGTTAGAGTAGGAAAACCTTTCTTGTCCATCACAAAGTGACTGAAATGTTCCTTTGGCGCAGCCAACAAAAGCTAAAAATACACAATGGACTCATCAACGTAAATTGTACAACAGTATCTAAAGTTTGCAAACATTAGTCATCGTAAGCAACTTGCAGTATGAGCTAGGGTGTTTCTGTTTCATTGCTTATGAATGCACTGAGAAAGATTTGCTTTAACTTTAAATCAAAGGTCCTCGTGTTGTCTCTCTCCCTTTCTTTCTGCTTCTTCTTCTCCTCATTGTAAACTGTTTCTATCCTCCTACTTCCCTGTTCCAGCTCTGTCTCTCTTTCTCCCCCCGCTGTCGTCATCTCTCTACACCGTGTTTTAATTTGTGTTTCTTTCCTCCTTTCCTTTACTCTCCCCTTCCTTCCAGGTCTTTCTGTCAATACGTCTGGCAGCAGCGGATCGATTTGGACCGTGTTGTCGTCATCACAGGATGTGTGTTTCTGAGGCAGATGGAGTTTTAACTGTAATGTGCAGGGAGAATGATGTATTGTTGCTCTTCCAGGCCACAGTGGAGCATCACGCTGCTGCCAGTGTTTGGATGTGTTAGATGGATTTCTCCAAATTCAACAATAAAAAAACAGTGCTGGTCTGTGCCGACCACAGCTGTTACAAATTACTGCTGAAAAGTACATCTCCACTTGTCTCCCCGTGGAAGCGCGGGAATGATGCTCTCTTCCTGCTAACACTTGATTTTTCTGTTTACATTTAGAGCAGCTTGTGTTTGCATGGCAGTTTAACTATTATAACGAGCTGTCTTTTGTATTTTTGCACTGTCTCTTGGTTGTACATCAGTAATGTTCACTTACAGCTGCTCTTTTCTTTTTTTTTGACTTTTTATTGATCCTTTTACACAAATAGCATTTTTGCTGTTTTTACACAGTTGCACACGTGTACTTTATGTAGTCTTGTTTTGCTCTGTGTTTTGTTTTCTAGTAGTAATATGGATGAAATTGCAATAAAAACAGTCTACAGTAAATCTGTTTTTTGACGTGTTAAAATCAAACCACGTTGACTAACAGTAGGAAACGGGAGTCTCTCGGTGAAAGTTCGATGTTTTATTGATCAATCCACCCACCCCATCCTCCTCCCACTGCTTTGTTGCTCTAATAATGTCTCACTACTTCCTCCTTTGCCCCCGATGTATAATCAGTAGAGAGCTTTCCACTTTAAAGTAAACGTGTCGTGTTTGGGCAGCTGCTGAATCGAGTGACGCTCGACGTTTTTCTTGACAGTCTCTTTGGATCAGATATTATCATCTGGAAAATTTCAGATTGTATCTCAATGTTCTCTTTTTGAAGTATGTTTTCCACAGATCCATTTATACCCCTCAAATAAAATAGTCTCGAAATAATGTTTAAATCCAATATTGGTATAAACCAGCTCTGCTCACAGATTTGTAACATTTCCCACAAGAGTCTACAACAACCAGAGATAAAAGGCTGCCTGGGTCTCTACTGACTGACAGATGTCTCTGGTCTCACATTATATGTCATTATATCGATTCATTTGCTTAACATTTGGCCCTGAATTTCAAATTATGTCATTAAATTAGTCTAGTTAAGCAGAATTGCTGTTGCATTAAAGGACAAAAGAAGTTATCCAGAATTCAATTCATCATATTCTTCACACTTAAATCGTGTGCTCTCAGGCTCAGGTTTCAAAGTTGAAGCAAAGTCCTGTATTAAATCCATACAGAATGTGAGATGCTGTTGTACAAAGCAGGATTTTGTTTTAGTCTTTGAACCCTACAAAGGAGAAATTTAAGGTGGAATCAGAGTTCAGAGGGTTAAAGGATAATCCTCTGATGTTGGAGCCGACAGGTCGGCTCTCTGTCGGCAGAAATTTTTACAGGAAGACGTTTGACTTCTTCAGATTTTCTTGTTCAGTATGAAAAAACAGCTTTCACTGAGAGAGATAATCCAAAATAAACACGAGGAAATGTTCTGTTTCCTCCTGATTTCTTAAAGCTGAGTTGCTTTCCGAGCTTTGAAACATTCGTCTGTCGGTCAGCTGACAGAAACAGGACGAAACTCCTGGAAATAATCCCTCTTTAAACTTTGTTATCGCATTTTACTCCTGGTGTTTGTGGAGGAAAAGATGAAAGGAATAAGAGTGGGAGGAGGAGGTGGAGAGGAGAAGGTGGGAGAAAGTATAGGTGGAGGAAGAGGGGAGGAGTGGAGGAAAAGAAAAGGAGGAAAAAGCTAAGATGAAAGGAGAGAGAGAAGTGAAATGAGGCAAACAAAGAGAGGGGAAAGTGAAGGAAAAGAAGAATGAGCGCAGAAGGAAGAGGTAAAAAAAAATATCAGAAGCTGCCATGAAGCACTAAATATTCAAATGAGAGGAGGTATACTGGGAACGAAAGATAAAGGAGAAAGAGCAGTGGAGGAGGAGGAGGAGAAGAGAGCAAGAATAGAAGCAGAAAAGATTAAAGAATGAAAGATGATGATGAAAGAGGAAGGAGAATAAGACATGGTGGGGGGTGAGAAAGAAGGAAGAGGATGAAGATGAGGATTGATAGAAATTAAGGAGAGGAGGAGGAGAAGTTCAAGAAGAGTAGATGAGGGAGAGGAGAAGCAGGAGAAAGACTGGCAAGAGGAAGACACAGGAAAGTAGGAAGAAAAATGAAGAGAGGACAAGAGGAAGGAAAAATGGAGACAAGGAGGAAGAGATGGACAATAGACACTGACGGATAAAAGAGAGAACGAGAAACTGAAACAAGGTTTAAAGAGATAGAAGAGGAGAAGGAGAAAGATGAAGAGGAGAGAGCTGCAGGGGAAAAGGAGAACATAAGGAAGATGGAGGAGGACAGGTGAGAGGAGAAGAAAGAGAGCAAAGACAGGAAGTAAAGGAGAAAGAGAAGAAGGAAAGAGAAGAAAAAGGAGTGAAAGACCAGAAGAAGTTTAGAGAAGAGCGTGAGGAAAGAGAAGAGGAAGAGTGGGAAGGAGAAGGAAATGGAGGTGGTGGAAACAAGTAAGTGTAAGATGAAGAATGAGCGCAAGAAAAGAGAAAAGAAGAAGTGGGGGGATATGAATGAGGAGAAAGAGAGAGCTGGAGGAAGAGTTCAAGAGGAAGATGAGTGTGGACAAAAGAAAAAGGAGGAGGAAGAGAAGGAATGAAGAGTAACAGTGGAGTTAGCGAGAGGGAAAAAGGTGGCAAGGAGGTGGAAAAGAGAAGACAAGGAGAAGACAATAAGGAGAAAGAGGGGGAGAAGTAGAAGTACATGCGAGCAGAGAAGATAAGCAGGTAAAGAAGAGGAAGGAGGGAGGATAGATGAAAAGTTGAAGAAAGAGGGGAAGTACAAGATGAGGAGGAAGAGGAAAAAGGGAAGCTTTGGGAGGATGAGAAGAGAGAATGAAAGAGAAGATGAGGAACGCCTGGAAGAAAAGGAGATCAGACTGAGAGGATAAAAAAGAGCTGAACATAAAGAAAAGACAAAGAAAGGAGGGCGGGAGTAGAAGAAGAGGAAGATGAGGAAGATGGGAGTGGAGGGGAAGAAAAGATGGAGACAAGGGGCGGGACAAAGATGAGATGGAGAAGGGTTAAGGTAGGATGAAGAGAGTGAAGATGAGGACGTGGATGACGGAGGAAGTGAGAAAAAGAGAGAGTGAAGGAATAAACTGAAACGAGGTGTGGAGAGGTGATGATAGAGGGAGGAGGGGGAGGGGAGGGGAGGGAGGAGGTGAAGAATGGAGGGAGGAGGGAACAGAGAATAATAAACAGAGGGCGAGCGAGGCAGACAGAAAGAAAGAGAGAGAGGGAATAATGGAGAAAGCCTGAGAGGGACGAGATAAAGAGAGAATCTATTAGAGGAGAGGATGAGTTTGTAACACACACACACACACACACACACACACCCCGCGTAAAAACTAAATAAAACCCCAATTTTAACACACACGCGCACAACGTGACTTCAGCAAGTTGCCAACAGTCATAGCTGCCAAGGTAACGCTTGTTGTCACAGTAATCCTGATTGACAATCGAGCCTACAGCGTCGCCCCGGACAACAACGACACGTAAACACACACTCATGCATGAATTCATGCGGCAATGCTTCGCTTCGTCTCCTGAACACTAGAAGAAAAATGAACATGACATCATTTCCTGCTGTACTGTTTGTCATTACCCTGTGTGGAGACACCACAGAAGAAGAGAACAGGCATGTGAATGACACCCCTGACACACACGCACACACACAGAAACACACAGAAACACACACCTCATTCAGATGCAGAGGTGTGACTGAAGGGGAAACTGTTGAGTCAGGTGCTTTTCTGTGTGTATGTGTGTAGAAGTGTGTTAGAAGTGTGTTTCATTTCTATAAGTATCTCACACACACACACACACACACAATACTGGACACACTGATCCCTTTAAGCAACGTC